CTTCTGCTATCAGATATCGAAGTTAAATATTGTTTGAAAGTGTATAAAATATTTACTTATTTGTGCTTTGGTTTTCTCACCACAATCCATGATACAGATACTCACTTGTGTCCCTATACTTTCGGCCTTGTGCCACATCCAATTAGGCTGAGAAAATCACAACACTCTATGATATAAAATCGGTTGCAAATTAAAAACACTATTTCTGGTTTTCTAATTGCAACAGATTTGTAAACTTGGCTATCACAATCTTTTTTACTTTTCTTTCTAATATGCCAAGAATGTTGAAAGTTTACTGTAATTACCTACTTTATGAAGGGAAATTTAAAGTGTATTGATTTGGGATAATAATAAAAAAATGTTGCCTTATATCACACTTAGCTATATGTTGTAAACCACAAAATTAAAACCAACTTAGCTAAACGTAAACCACAAAACTAAAACAATATATTATCAAAAAAAGTTTTAGCTAAATAACCGTTTTTTAAAAAATAATTTAAAAAAAAAGTAAATCTAAACGTTCTTAGAAAATAAAAAAAAATGTAGAAATGTTGCTCAACGTTCGAAAGATTTTGTCGAAAAAAATGTTGTAGAACTCACTTTTGTTTGATGTATTCCTCACGCAAAAGGAAATGAAGTCTGGTGCTTAAAAACGCAACGAATCCAATAAGAAAATGTTATAGGAAACTGCTATGTCAACAGTTCTAATTACATAATTTTTCAGTATCCAATCAGATTCTTTGGAAAAACCACCATCACTCGGAAGAAAAACGAAGACAAAAATAGAAAAAATGAGTCACAAACAGAAAAATGATGGAAGAGAAAAAAATTGGACCGTAACAAGAGAAAGCGAATTTAATCAAGTAAATGATGATACGTCGGTAGAAAATGCAGAAAATCAGAACCGTTTCCAAAAAGACCATAACCTATATCTGTACCATTCCCCAAAAGAATGACATTGGTCTCGGAATATATTTAGAATAAAAGCTTTTATAAGCTCTGTAATCACAATATCATACTCGTCCTGGGTATGACGATAAACTGCATTCCCGTTCGGGATAAACTACATCCGATAGCGACACCTCTAATTAGAACGTTTTGAGGAGCGTGGAACCATCTGTTAATTGCTGGCATTCCCAGGTCCACCCTGAACAGGGGTGGTAGCACCTGTTAAGGGTCCCAAATACAAGCAAATAGTTAACCCCAAGCTGGCGTTAAAACGTGTAAAAATAGCGTTCAATACCAGAATACATTTTTGTAAAAAATTATTAACAGCAATAAATTTTTAAAAAAAATTATTACCAACAATGCATCATTACTAGCAATACTAGAAATTTTAGAAATAAATATTACCAGCAATTAAAAACTTGACGGCATTAAATAACCCACTGAGGTTGGTATGCCGTAAAACAAACCAAACCAAACGAAACAAAACCATATGATACAAAAAACATAAGAGATTATAAAACGTTTGGAATTCTCCCTTGATAAATAAATGAAAGTTTATTGTATTGACTAACGCAATATGTTTGGATTGGTTATAACAAAATGTGTATAGGAGACTGAAACTGAAAATAGTATAGGCTCTGCTATTGGATAGTTTAGGCGAATACATCAAATGACTCCAAAATCAAAACATTAACCTAAAAATCTTGCGTCATGTTCTTAACCCTAGAACACTAACCATCAATTAAAATTACACCACTATTAAACATGGGTATATCATACCCGATTTTGAAAATATCAAAAATTATTAAACATAAATCTTTATTTGAAATAATTTACATGCAGGCATTTCAAAATTCGAATTTAGGTAAGAAAATCATGTACTGAAAATTGTTATTAAAAATAGGAAAATCTGCGCTTGGTACTATATACCCAGGGTTAGTGTTCTAGGGTTAAAGAACCTCGTCTGATCGAGACATTCATACGGATGTCAAATATGACGCCAGACTCGTTCAGAAATATCTAAACACCCAGCTGTATATAAACACTTCCTCAGATTAAATATGGCTTCTAGGGAATGAAATTTGTCGATCTTAGCGAAGAACATACTTTTCAAATCTTACGGACTGACAACATTTCTGGGAACGAAGCTGTCTGAGTGGAACATTTTACTTACCATTGTGGATGAGTCGATCATTTGTACCTGGCAGGGATGCTTGTGGCTGTGGAGATCTGGACTGGTGAATCTAAGGAATATATCTTGTTTTAACATCTTCTATGAAAATAGCGACAGTCTACCTATACGTTTGGCATCATAGAAAAAGAGGTTGTTGAGTGGAAAATAATTCATCCGTCACGTAAAAATCTTTTGTTATGTATCAAGGTGAAAACTGAGCAGCACCTGCCCGGATATGACACCAATCACTTTGTGATTAATGGAGATGTTTTTGAAGTAAATATATTAATGTGAACGGAGAAGGAAACATGGCACAGTGGATAAAGGCGTTGGTTAGATCCAGTGACAGGACCCAAAGAGTGTGAGTTCAATACTCGGTTAAGGCAGTGGAGAACTTGGAAAGGGGATTTAACAGGAGATAACTGATAAATGACATCCATTAAAAATGGCACGTGGAACTAGAACAGTTTACCCCAGTGAGCGAAATAAAGGGTTCAGTTCGACATTCCAACCACCTGTAGAAGACCGGAGTGTACAACGGCCGAAACGTTGTAATAAATATGGCGACAAAGAAGAGGACAGTAGTTCGAATAATGTAAATAGTGTGAACGGAGAATCTTTCTATATTAACGTTCACCCAACACAAGGCTCAAGAACCGCTCAAGATAGAGATTACTGAATGAGGTATGTAATATTAGAATGTAGAAGGAAATGAAAATAAAGAGAATAGAATGCGATTGAACCTTTACTTGAAAAGGTTAAAATTATATTTTTGAAAGAAGCATTCGATCACGATAGGATCTTAGGGTCACCATGTGTACGGCGGCCGCAATAGAAGTGGCGTTTCTTGGGAAAGATAGCCTGTCGGAGCCCATCCCTCTCTAGGCTGGTTTGAATTCAGTGTTTCCTTCTCTTAGATCGGTTGTCACCCTAGGCGATAGAATCCAGTATGTCCTTCTATAGCTGGGGGAGTAGAAGGGGATTCATACCTTCCCCAAGGTTAATAGAAATTAATGGATCTGACTGGAATTCGAACTCGGCTCTCCGATTCCGAGCCGCTATCCTTTACTCCATCGTGTCTCCTCCTAAGCATTGGTGAAGAAAACATATAATTCTACGTAAAACATACTGAATTGAACTTTCTCAGAGACGGTTTTATATTTATGGGGCCTTGAGGTATAAACAGATATGGCTGTTCCTTCGTGAAGACCAACAATAGATTCGAAAATCCAACTACCAAAATGGAGGATATCAATAGATTCCGTCGAGCTCAATAAGCCAATACAGTTGGGGATTCTATAGCTGGCAGCCAAGAAAAATCTTTCCTGAGGAAAAAATGGCAAATTACAGGGGAAGTTTGAGGCCATATAAAAAGTAGTGCATACTCGAAGACCAACATTAACAACTTCAACGCAATGAATTATGATACTATCACTAAAATGAACTCATTGTAATAAAAAAGGGCTTAAAACCCCATCGCAACCTGGAATTAGGGGTCATGTATCTCATAATAATAACTCGTTAAATTCCCTAAGTAAATTAACTAACCAGAAGGGAGCCCTTTTTACACAAAGAAAACATTAATACAAGACTTGTTTTTAATTCAGTGTTAATTTTTCCAAGACAGGTTGCCATCTAATGTTATAGAAAACAGTCTACCCTGTATTTACCCATAGCTGGGGGGAGATGAAGAAAATTCATACCTTTCTCATGGTTATTAGCACGTAAGTGAATGTAATGGCTCCGACTGAATTCGAACTCGGCTCTCAGATTCCTCAATCTGTGTCACTATCCATTACCCTGTCGACCCTCCATAGTTGCAAAACAGAATACAAATGGAATACAAAGAAACTCTATGATTGTAACATCCTTGTATAAGTCGGTACTGTCTATAGCGATATGTATTTATATGTAAAATAAATAATTAATTGATCGCTAAATTGCGGACTTATTTCTGTACATAGATTTGCATATGTGTGTATTCTGTATGATTTGATTACAAAGATTTATTGAGAGTCGGGATTCTTTAGGACGTTAACTGTCAGGGATTGTCATTGTCAAGTAGCAATACAAAAGTTATTCAATTAATAGTATTATTCTCGCTATAATTAATTACGGAATTAATTTTAATATTCAAGCGTCTAATTCCATGTTCCATAGACATATGTAGCTACTGTCTTATAATGTGATTGACCGTCTGACATTTATAATAAAATATGGAATAGGATTTCTTTTATTGTCGGAGATTTACAGTTGCGAAATCAGATCTCTCTTCTGTTTCCAATATATATCTGAAATATTCGCCCACTACCTAACGCTAGGCTCGACAATATTTCGCGTGTGATTTTAAAAATTCAAAACAAGATTCCTGAATTAATCATCAGCTCCACTCTGCCACTATTGGTTCTTGATCGGACGGAATCCTAAGAATCTCCTCCCATCTTAGCAATAGCTAGAAAGAGCAAAAGAATCTCTTGGCAAAATCTGTGACAGACAGAAGACGATGGATAAGGAAAATAGGAGGCGCGGTCAGAGTAGCAGTATGTGGAATTCGCGTGAAAGGAGGCGGAGTTAATGTAGAGACACTAGGATGATTGGTTAATATCAGAAATATAGGCGGTTATTCAGATGTCAGGGGGAGGAAATTGTCAGGGACAATAAGATGAGATGAAAATGCAAAGAGCAGCAGGAGGGGTCAATGTTTTGCGATGCAAATTTGATTCAACTACAAATCCAGTCGATGGACATGGGAAAGAATATGTTTTGTGTATGTGGTTTTAGAGAATCCCAACTATTAGGATAGTAGAGAAAAATCTAAACAAAGAAAGAAAAAAGAAAAGAAAACTGGAAAAAGATAGCAGATTTTAGATAAATGGAAATGCTTGATTTATTAGAGAGAACGGAAAACAATCTATCTATCTATCTATCTATCTATCTATCTATCTATCTATCTATCTATCTATCTATCTCAGTCTGTTCATATCTATCTATCTCAGTCTGTACATATCTACATGCATGTATGTATGTATGCATCTATCTATTTCAGTCTATACATATCTACATGTATGTATGTATCTATCTATCTATCTATCTCAGTCTGTACATATCTACATGTATGTATGTATGTATGTATGTATGTATGTATGGAGATATCTATCTATCTATCTATCTATCTATTTCAGTCTGTACACATGTACATGTATGTATGTATGTATGTATGTATGCATGGAGATATCTATCTATCTATCTATCTATCTATCTATCTATCTATTTCAGTCTATACACATGAACATGTATGTATGTATGCATGGAGATATCTATCTATCTATCTATCTATCTATCTATCTATCTATCTATCTACGAAGCGATGCTGAAAGTTTATCAGCCGAAACACGCTTACTTAACGTCTGACATTATAGATTTTCAAGAAACCCCTTCTTTTCTGGCCAAGAATCCGTCTTGGTTTCGTCATATGTTTTGGTGTAGATTGACAAATCTCTCGTCAGACACAAAGGAATTGTATTTAGATCTCAAATATTTAATTATATAATATTTAATGCAAATGTTAAATACTCAAACATGTTACTAACTGCAAGAAAAATGAGCGGCGTGATTATTATGAAAACAACTACGTGTAAATGTTTTACTACTTTTTCATTCTTTCGGCAAATTCCATTGAGAAAAAAAGATTAATGTGTGAAGACAGACACTATTGGATAAACACTTAAAAAATGGTCGTTCGATATTTATCACAATGTTCCGGCCGTTGTAGGCTCCGACCTTCTTCAAGCGTTGTGATAAATATGGCAACAAAGATGAGGATTATAGTCCGAACAATGTAAATGTGTACATAATACCTCATCTCGGAAATATAGACATATACTAATCAGCACTGAAAATATGGAGAGAAATTGAAAAGTCCTACCAGAATATCGAACCAGCTGACATTCCTACACCGATGCAGAGGCCTACGACTCATCACTTCCGGCTTGGCACCAAGACTTGCCGTTAATTCAAGGAGAGCCTGTCTCGTCGCAGAAAAATGTGGATAAAACAGAGAATTCAAACTCATATCTCCCAGAGGCTCGAGAATTTCTTCAACAGAATTACCAGACAGAAGAATGATCCAAAATGACCTGGATAAATCCTTCAGACATGAATTTGATGTAGTCATGACTCGCCAAATACAAAAATTAAAAAGACTGAGAGATCAGAAGGTGACGCGCAAGGTCCATCACCCACCTGTGAAAGCAGTAATCAACATCAGCTAATATCAGCTGAGTGCCTCTGAAGAGTCAGTATTAAATAAGGGTCTCAACTTTGCCACAACCATCAGGTGAGTGCCATACTTAGACATCAATGCCAGAATCGAGGAAGTGGTCTTGAACTTACCTCAGGCTCAGGCGGATGATTTAAGATGGAGGGTGAGACAGTCATTGGAGAAAGCCAAGCCGTCCAAGTCAAACATCATGAAACTGGAGAGGCTGGTAATCGGGTCCCTACAGAGGAACGAAAACATAATCATACTACCTGCTGAAAAAGGCAATGCTATTGTAGTAATGGACAAATTCGATTATGCAGAAAAGCTGGAAGACCTCATTAGAAATGGTAGCTACAGCAAAGTAAAAAACAATCCTACAATGAAAACGGAAAGCAAACTGTCACAGATCCTAATCAAGAACAAGGATCACTTCGCACCGAAGACATATAGGCAGTTATCGCAGCGTTACACCAAGCTACCTCACATATACGGTCTCCCTAAGATTTACAAACACGGTATTCCGCTCAGGCCTATTGTTAGTTGCCAAGCCTCTGTGTGCCACCCTCCGAGTCGCTTCCTTGAAGATATAATTGACCCATTGATCGGAAAGTCACCTTCATATGTCCGAAACTCCGGGCATTTCGTGGATATAATCAGAGATGCTCCCATCCTATCCAACCAGGTAGTGAGCTTGGACGTGCTGAGTTTGTTCACCAAGGTACCCACGGAGGAGGCACTCTCAATAGTCAGAGACAGAGAAGAACGTACTAGTCTTCCAGTAGATAATCTGATGGAGATGTTGACTTTCTATACACAAACAAAACACTTCGGAATGGGATCACACATATATCGACAGGATGAGTGCTTAGCAATGGGCTCACCATTATCACCAGCAAATGCGAATCTATACATGGAATACTTTGGGGAAATGGCATTAGAATCTATATCTCTAAGGCCAACTCTATGGTTAAGTTACGTAGATGACACATACATACTCTGGCCACATCAGGAAGATGACCAGGTTCTACTGGACCATGTGAACTCAATAAGACCTTCGATACAGTTCACAATTGAGAAAGGGAGTACCAGCACACTCCCATTCCTGGATGTTCTAATATCTCGAACAGAGCATGGTTCAAGACATCCGTATACAGTAAACCGACATTCACCGGGCACTATCTCAATTTTTTCCTCCCACCATCCATACAACGTAAAGAAAGGAATCGTCCGCTGCTTACAACGCCGAGCAAAAGTGACGATGCAGAGACATTAGATAAAGAATTGGTCAGTATAAATAGTACCCTACAACGTAACAACTAACCTGGGTACATGGCAGCAGCCCCAATAAACTGGGATAGGTGAGTACAGAAGAAGGAGAAAAACACTCAGAAAATAGTCTGCCTGCTTTAATGGAGGGGTTATCGGAGAAAATACAAAGGATCTGCGGTCCATCTAACATCAGGACAAACTCCAAAAGCAGGACGACACTTCGCAGATATCTCTCCTGATTATGACCCCACCATATATATATATATATATATATATATATATATATATATATATATATATATTAATAAAACAGACCATTTTAAGGTTACATTTGTAATAATTTATTTCACCGGAGAATTTAATTTTTTCTCTGGATCTTCCGTTTCAAAAGGTGCAACAAAAAAATGAATTTAACATTTACACTTTTGACGGGCAGTATGAAGCTTAATAAGTTGAAGAATGAAGGGGTGAAGAATGGTGTGAGAGACATGGTCGAGTTTAGAGAGGAGAGGGAGAGGGATATATATATAGTGTTGAAACTTGACTAATGCATGGAATAATAATGCAACACAAAATGTACTTAGAACAAAATTTATTGAAACAAGAAAGTGTACACAATATTTACCTATAGTCTTTTGTATATTCCTGGTAAGACCGTTCCTGGAGAATGTGTTGACTGAGTCGCAGTCGGGCAGAGTCTCTGGTTGAATCTCTTGATTCCTCCCTCTCTTCCCGGTAACAACCATATTTATATGGTCGGTACTCCACTATGCAAATTAGGTGGATCCTACCACAACATATATATATAGAGAGAGAGAGAGAGAGGGATATATATATATATATATATATATATATATATATATATATATATATATATATATGTGTGTGTTTGCGTATGTGTGTGTGTATGTGTCTTTGGTGTCTTTAAAACTGTTTTCGTAAGGTGGCAATTGTCACCTTTGCAGAATATAGGGAATATTTTTCTTGACTGTATTATTCAGCTTAAAGACAGTTGGTTGAAACTGTTAGCATTCAACTGATTTTTCCTCGGACTCTACTATTCGGAAAACACTTTTTTCAAAAACTTACACTTATTCTTTGTATTTATTTTAGACCATCATCAAATCAGTGGCCATCATTCATTTTATGACCTACAATATCAGCCCACAAAATTACCCGGTTTCAACCATAATGTTCTCTATGTTGCTTTGGTTGACCATTTCTATGAATAAGACACCTACATCTCAGCTATCTTTCCATCAATGTTGCTTTATATTCATCAATAAAAATAAGAAATCATGCTTGATGTCTTTCTTCGCATGAAGAATAGAGTGAAGCACTCGCAACCCGAGAAATATAGACACACAGTTGAATGAACATCGAATCAAATAAAATAAAAATCTCATGTGCATTTATTATTATTATTATTAATATTATTATTATTATTAATATTAATATTATTATTATTATTATTATTATTATCATCATCATTCGATTTCTGCTATGGACACACTACCTACCAAGTCTGCGGAAAGACCTAAGGCAGGTCGTGGTGTGTTGTTATGGCCACATTTCATGTTAATTTTTTTTTATTTTATTTTTTTTTTTATCTCCGATGAAGTTGCTAGCGTTACATAGACAAAGTTCTCCTTAGTGTGTGTGCTGTACTTAATAAGACAATTTTCTGTATGTCTCTTAAGCTGGGGTTTCAGGGGATTCTTTCAATGTGTTGTTTTGTTCCATTTTTTATAATTCCAAGTGCACCTATTACCACTGGTATTATTCTTGTTTTCAATTTCCACATTTTTTCTATTTCAATTTCCAGGTCTTTGTATTTTGATAGTTTTTCAAATTCCTTGGTTGCTATGTTACAATCCGCTGGACAAGCCATATCAATTAGTAGGCAAGTTTTTTTCTTTCTGGTTTTTGACAACAATGTCCGGCCTATTTGCTTCAATTTTTCTGTCTGTGTGGATGGTATAATCCCATAGAATGGTGACATCTTCTATTTCTGTAACCGGCGCTGGCCGATGTTCATACCAGTGTTTGCTTACACATTTTCCAAAGTGTTTGCACATTGTCCAGTGTAAGTATTGCCCCACTCTATCGTGACGATTTTTATATTCATTTGGGGGCAAGTATAGAACATCCTGAGATTAGATGGTCTATTGTTTCTTGGTATTTGTCACAGAACCTGCATTTTGGATCCACATTATTATGTATGATATTTGCCTGAAAATTCCTAGTGAAAAAGACTCTGGTCTTGCGCTGCAAGAATAAAGCCTTCAGTTTCAGACTTTAATCCAGATGCTCGTAACCATCGATGAGTATTAACTTTATCAACATTGGGTTTATTTGCACGTTCTGGATATTGGCCATGCAGAGGTTTGTCTTGCCAGCGTTGTTTCATCTGTTCAAGGGCTTTATCCTTGGCTTTCTTTTTCATATCTTTTGCTGCAATAGTTGGTTCTTGGCTTTTGTTTTGATTTACTACATTATTATTATTATTATTATTATTATTATTATTATTATTATTAATATTAATATTATTATTATTATTATTGTTAATATTATTATTATTAATATTATTATTATTATTACTATTATTAATATTATTATTATTATTATTATTAATATTATTATTATTATTATTAATATTATTATTATTAATATTATTATTATTATTAATATTATTATTATTATTATTAATATTATTATTATTATTATTATTGTTAATATTATTATTATTATTATTATTAATATTATTATTATTATTAATATTATTATTATTATTATTATTAATATTATTATTATTATTATTAATATTATTATTATTATTATTAATA